AAACATTAAAAACATTAATCAATAAGAATCAATAATCATAGAGTTAAAATAAATAAAAGAAAATGATGTTAATTCTTTTTAATTAAAAACGAGATTCTGTTAAACCGAGGACAAATCCCATCCGCCAGAAACAAACCAAATACTAAGACCTCAATCGAGGACTGTCGTGCCCATAATGCCTGATGTATTGGGAACAGTCTCAAATATCATACTTACCATGGTAGTATTGGGAACTGCTGACAAGCGTACTGAGAGGAGTTATTAGAATTTAATTTGAGAACCACTACTACAATGTTTTACAAGTTCACGTTCTAGCCTCCTTTCTGATCTTTTGCTCGACTTTCACCCTTGCTTTAAAATCCGGCTCCCAAAGGCTTGGTCCTTATCATCAGAGATAAGAATATATTTTTTGACGAACGAGATGGCTGGAAAATATAAAAAGGAATTTGGCCACCCTTGCCCTGACCATGGTGGCATTAAGTCGGAGGTGTGTGCGTGTGTAGTGGGGGGAGTGCAACGTTCACAACTTGTCGGACCCTTGTTTCCAAAAACCAGCTCCCAAACCTTTGATTCTTATTAGAGATAAGAATATATTTTCTGACAAATGAGAGGTCCGTGAAAGAGTATAGCAAGTTTGGAGGGAAAAGTTCACGATATTTCTGAGCCTTCTAATCTTGATAAATACGGAGAATATACGCTTCTTTGGCAGGGTGTACATGCCATCGTTGCCACAATTGCTGTATATACACGCAATAAATCTCGAGTACATGACATTGTCTGTATTAACAGGTCGGCGACAGTAACATCAGTCTTCCCCGGAACCTGTTCAAGAAAGAAATTTACATGTTGGGCTATAAAGAAAGAACGTCAGCCCTCTACTAAAAATTAATCGAGATTTTCTTCTCCCTTTCTTTCTCTCATATTTTGTGTATAACACTTAACCTTTTTTTGTGTATGTAAATAAAAATTTTCTTCTTTTGTTGTTACACCTCGAGCAGGAGTTTGAGTCTTTATTCTTCCGACTAAAAGAGAGAATTGTCCGCTCTAAACTTTCAAACTGTTGTTGCTGTTATCGATTCTGTCACCTTTGACTTTAATTCTTTCATTTTCATTTTTTCTCCTTTCTCTCCCCATTTTTGTGGAATTACCCTTAAAATTAAAGTCTGATATTCCACCTGGTAGTGGTCACTCCGACTTAAAAACTTAAATCTTAGTATAGTCAGTGCCATGTCTATACGCATATGCTACCACACTGAATACAATATTCGGTTATGAACTCTTTAATCGTATTTATATGAATATAATCCCCATCTGTACTATCTCTTGGTTTGAACGAACTCTCTGGTCTTCTTCCAGTGTCGTCCTAGAGCTGGTAACTTGAACATAATTACTCCGTGGCGGTCAAGGTTAAAACGCAAAATTCTACGAATTTCCATGATTATGAATAAATTTTCATACCGGATCGGTCGTTACCCGGTTCAAGAAGATCTACGTACCTCAGAGAACCAGTCTGGGGCCGAAAAATCTGACACTGGAACAAATTCTTCCAAAAACGAAGAGACACTAGGTCACCAAACCAGGACTATTCCCAACATTGGTCCAAGTGTCTCAATGCCAAATCAACTAATAAAAAGAAAATGAACGAAATGGTCTCGCGAAGTGTATCAACATATGATGACATCGTTCTTCACTGCACTCGAAAATCCCTCAAAGAACACCACGAATCAGAGATACTAAATATGGAGAACTATGGTAGGAAGTGATATAAGACCTCACCTCAATCCAAACATGCTTGCCAATGTCCGCAGGGACATTGTGCGAAACAAAAGACTCTCAAATGCATAAATGGATAATATAAAATTAGATATGATACAGAATACTATAACCCATCACTCAAAGAGATGAAAATAGAAATAAGTAATGTGACAGAGGATGAGGTAAAAACTAAAACAAATGAAATACGAAATAACCTCCCAGAAAATAAAATCGAAGAATCTGCCAGTAACATAACCTGAAGCTATCCAGACGATGTCACTGAAGATGACTCCACCGACATTAAGTTAGAATTCCTTGAAAACCACAGAGCTGAAATCACCGAAGCGAAAAACCACGTCATCCCAGTACTCAGCAGGGTAACTCTCATACAATTATCTGACAGAGACCAGCTCACAAAAATTCATATGACGAAGTCCAATAAGCACATTGTGCAAATATATAACGCTCCCCTGGAAACACTGTTAACAACGTCATATACGCAACAGTTTTAGCAGCTACTGGGAAGCTTGGGGTCAAGACAATGAAAAAAATTAACAGACATAGAGAGCCAGCTTGGAAGGCAAAACTGATGTGAGAAATAAAGGAATCAGATGAGAGCTTTCTATATTAGATGAGCTCACTAGAAACCCAAATATCTCAACAAGCAAGTGCAAGAAGATCAAGCGGAAATATAAAATTAAATCTTTGATTGATATTCCATCAATCAAGGAAATTCTGAAACAGAAATTTCTGTTAAAAGCACAGAGAACAAGACGACATGATGGTTTTTCGACATGTATAGGTGCTTTTCCAATTTTCCTGTAAATTGTACGGGGAAATTGGAAAAGTACCTACACATGTCGAAAAACCATCATCTATTGACAATGTGCAGACATTTTGGAAGAATATTTGGAGCATCCCAAAAGAAATATAACTCTAATGCAAAATGGATCCAACATGAAAAAAAAAACGAATCAAGAGTGGGAAAATATAACCACAAATAATGTTAGGCAAGCTCTAGCGAAATCCCCAAAAGGGAAATCCCAGGAAATGACAAGGTGCCCAATTTCTGGCTCTATCATCTCTCATCAATCCATCAAGCCCTTGCAAAAACTCTATCAAACTTGTAAATAATCCCAGTGAAATCCTGAAATGGATCACTGAAGATGTTACATATCTCATGCCAAAAACGAGTGAAACAGATCCGAAAAATTATAGGTCAATAACATGTCTCTCCACCACGTATAAGCTGATCACGTTTGTCCTAACGATCCCTACTTCCTCTTTTTTCGAAGCAAACAACATTCTTCCACTGGAACAGAAGGGATGCAAGAGAGGTTCATATAGTTGCAAAGATCAACTACTGATAAACAAAATGATTCTGGAAAATTGCAGGAGACGATATAGAAATCTTATCGCAGCGTATATTGATTATCGTAAAGCCTTTGATAGTGTGCCTCGGTCTTGGATCCTTAAGACTTTGGAAATGTACAAAGTCTCCCCTGTGGTACTAAATTTCCTTAAGCACAGCATGGTAATGTGGAACACCACACAAAACCTAAACCACAAAAAAGGCATTGCCATTTCCAACCGTCTGAATATCCGACTTGGAATATTTCAAGGAAACTCCCTGTCACCCCTTCTGTTTAAATCATCAACTCTACATGGATGATCTTAAACTCTTTGTCGAAGACGACAATGAGTTGAAGGGCTTCCTCAATATTGCAAAATGTTTCAGTGACGAAATATGTATAGACTTCGGATTAGATAAATGTGCGAAAGTAACATTCAAGAAAGGGAAAATTACAGAAACACCCTCAATATATTTAGACTTTGTTACAAAGATTAGGGAACTGGAACAAGATGAAGCCTATAAGTACCTAGGAATTAGCGAAGGAGATGGTATACAACATAGACAAATGAAGGAGAAGGTAAGAAATGAATAGTACAGGCATGCGTCTGGTATTGAATACCTATCTGAATTCAAAAAACAGAATATCAGCCATAAACACCTTCGCTGTTCTTGTAGTTCTATACAACTTTAACATCCTTAATTGGACCATAGCTGACATTAAGTGAATGGACACCAAAACGATAAAGCTTCTCACTTGCTACCGCATGCATCATCCCAAATCTGATGTTGATCGTCTGTATGTATCCAGATCCGAAGGAGGAAGAGGATTAGTTCAACTAGAACTATCTCACAAAACTACAACAATTGGCCTTCAAAAATACCTGGAAACTACAGAAGACTGGATGATATGTGTCAAAGAACATGAAAGTAGTATCTTTATTCCGTAATAAAGGAAGCCAACAAGTTCAAAATGGAGTTTCAGATGGGTACATAAAATATAAGTAAACCACAATACACTGACTGAAGCTGCAAAATACAATGGCAAGATAAACTGCTTCATGGCCAATACTCTGCTCGTACCAAACAAGCTGGTGTAGACAAATCCAGTACCCATCAGTGGCTATGTAGTGCAGGGTTAAAACCGAAGGTTTTATCTTTGCTACACAAGACCAATGCTTGTTAACTAGAAATTATCAAGCACACATAGTAAAATATTGTGTTAGCCCAAAATACAGATTCAGTGATAAATATCCAGAAACAAATGATCATCTTGTATCAGGTTGCAAAGTATTGGCAACCACTGAATATAAAACCCGGCATGACAGAGTGGGCCAATATATGTACTGGAAAATCTTCAACTTCCACGGGAAGGAAACTGAAAGAAACTGGTATGAACACCACGCAGACCCGGTTACGGAAATAGGATCTTTTACAGAACAATCAAAGCTAACCGCCCAGACATTATTATTATTAGATACCGCAAACAAAAAAGTGCCTCCTTATTGATATGGCAGTCCCTTCAGACTGCAATGTATCTTTGAAGATCTTCAGAAAGCTATCAAAATACAAAGGCCTTGAAATCGAAATCTCAAAAATGTGGCACATGGGAACATCAACAATCCGTGTTGTATTTGGAGCCCTCGGATTGGTTGGATTCCTGGAAACCAATGCCTTAAAGAAATACAAAAAAATGTTCTCATGAGTACAGCCCACACATTACGAAGAGCTTTATCTATGTAAAATATGTGCGATTTTCTTTTTAGTTGGTCAGTGGAAAATGTCTGGATACTATTTTTAACCTTAGGTCTCTGGGCGGGACAAAGAAATAAATGTGTACGCACCAGAAATCAAAGGAAATAAAATAATAATAAAATATTTATTTTTGTTTCAGTTGAACAAACTGCTAAAATGTCAGCATCCAATCAGTGCCGAAGCAGGAAAGGCCGTACACGATGAACATTTGTTTATAATAACGCATCAAGGTAAGCGCTAAAATGTATGAATACAAAGGGTATATTTTTCTTTCGGATTTTAATGAGATTTAGACTCAGTTGGAGGAGGATGTAAATTGTTTCTCAATTTTCTTCGTGGGGAGGGAATGCTTACCTTGAAAATCAGCATTATATAGTCTGTTTTTTTTTTTTTGATCTGGTGTTTGTGGAAAATAAGTGATTATTTTATTGGCAAGGCAGACCCTTCCAATTTTTTCTTAAAAACGAAAATCCCTCTTAATTATTCAACGTGGCGGCAAAGATTTTGGACGCACATAACGAGAATTGTGTGTACCACTGTATGGGGATTTTTTCCTTAAATGAGAAAAAATTAAATAGTTTCAGTTACAACCCTGATTTGAAAAACATTCGAATAGATAAATGTGAAGACCTTAGCAATCGGGTGACTCTTGACCAATTCTAATCATATAAAGTACAGCAAAATAATGAATAACGGTGTCATTAAATTTAGTTTCTTTTTCTGTTCAGAATATTTAATTTTAAAAATATTCTACGCGAAAAATAATGTGTTCATACAAATATTTAAAAGCCTACTTAGTTACGTATTTTCAAATATAAACATTTTACAAAACATATTGCCTTCTTTCCACGACACAGAGAGAGATAGAGAGATAGGGAGAGAGATAAAGAAAGAGAGAACATGTGAGCATACAAACCCATGCATTTGTCTGTATATGTGTGTGCATAAACCCCAAGCCAAATTGTACTTCGAGATAAAACTATTTATAATGAAAGATATTTTCTACTTGTAAGTAGGTTAATAATACTAAAAAAGGAAAGGCGAAACTTTTTGATTGGTCAACACAAAACATTGTATTGATGAACACACGTGGGGGAGAGAGAGAGAGAGAGAGAGAGAGAGAGCGAGAGAGAGAGAGAGCAGGGAGAGATAATAATGAAGAGAATTTCTTTTTCTGGTCAATTGTCGCCCGCAGTAATCAAGCCCGTAATAACATCCTGGTACCAGTAGTAAAAGTAATGAAATGGACGCGAATTGTTGATGATTTATTAAAAAATATGGGCCTATCTATCAGGAGTCGTTGTTTGAACCGGGAATGCACTTAAGATCTAAAGACCAGCTTTATGTAGATCTGTGTGTGTATGTGTGTGGAGGGGGCGTGGGAACTTTTAAGTAGTATTTTTATATTTCTTAAGAAATAAAAAATATTGATCATTTATTGATATTATAATTTTTGTTCCCGAAAATTTACTAGTGATATTGAATAAGAGAGCATCAATCCCCACTCGTCACATACGCATACGTGTGGCAGTATCTGTGAGATCTTGTAATGGTCTTGGTTTAATTTCTCAAAATCATTATTTGAATGACCAGACATCAGAATACTGATTTTGAATAGTGGAATGTATCGAGAATTTTTCAGCCCCGACTCGTGTAAACATACACACACACGCGCACACACACATATATCTAAAGAAGTGATGAATTTTTATTTATTAATCTGACAGATTTTATTATTTAAATGTTATTTTTAGTGGATACCCATATTTGAGTAGACGCTCCGTTTAATTATTAAGCAGTATTTTCGTCTACCGGCCAGAATATTCAAGTGGACGGATAGAGTTGATGGGACCTCGACCAGTATCTATATAATGAGTAGTCAATGAGGAAGGGACGAGCAGTGAGTAAGTCAGAAGTCGTAGGGCAGTGAATGTAAGGTTCTTTTTTCTGTGGTTGAAAGTTAGGAAAATAGCCATTCCCATTCTCGAAGCCGAAGAAAGACATTGCCGATATCTTTGTAGAGTTCAATTAATGAGACAAACCTGTGAGCATAGCGAGCCAGCTGTATATACACATACAGTCAAACTTGGCTGTCATCACTGCTTGTGCAGTAACGTGCGGAAAGTCATCGTCACAAATTAAAAAGCATTTCAATTTAGATATTCTCTCCTTTTAAAAAAATATATTTTAAAAACCGAAAGAAAATATTTATAATTTACTAATGAATACTTTAATTTTGCTTTTTTAAATTTCAGTAATGATATTGAATTAAATATTCCTTGTGCTTTTTAGTGTGTGTGTGAATGACTGAGTGAAAACATTTGTTTTATTTTCAAAATAAAATATCATCTTGCAGAGTACCTTTCATTTTTCCTTTCAGCTTACGAACTTTGGTTCAAGCAAATTCTTTATGAAATTGATTCTGTGCGATCGCTTTTTTCCTCTTCGGTAAGTTTCCCGCCGTTTCTCAATTACGTCATTACTATACACTATCGCATCTCTTCAATTAGATTTTCACAGGCGTTGACGAGCAAAAGTCACCTGAGACGATAGAATTTTTAAGAATCGGTTGTCGGATATTTATTTCACAATTTCTTTTTTTTTAATTTTATTTTAAATGAGAATTTGATTATCATTTTAAAGATTGTTTAAAGATAATTGGCGACAGCAAGTAGAAGAATGACAGTATGAAGTTCAGCGTGTTGTCAACACATATTGTGTGAATGGGATAATCATGGACTATTGTAAGAGAATATTCTTGTATTTGCAAACACTTCAGTGTTTACGCACGTACACATATTACACAACCTTGTCATGTTCAAGTAACTGTCATTTACGCCTGTGAGTTTTCCTTTTTGAGGCTACTGATCATTTATATACTTTGCAGCATATGTCTAGGCCAACTTGGCGCGTGTTGAATAATGGGAATAATTTTCATATACAGCTTTAAAAATCAAAATTTGGTGTTTATTATTCATATTCCTATCAGATCTTTTGTGATCTTTATGAATAAATATTTTGTTGCAGGCGTTTATAATTAAATTGCTTAGTTATTCAAATAAAGCCATTTTATGGCCTGAAACTTTTAGAAAACAACTTGGATCTATCTCAAGAGAGTAATCATTTATTGAAAGTTTTAAAATTATACTTATGACAAATGTTAACAATTACTCATCTTTATATTATGAAAATCTCAAATCTCTAAAATTGCATTCAATGTTTATTTTTTTTTTAAAGATAAGCAGAACATTTTCTCTGATTAAAGTTTTGAAACAATGAACTCAAATTCAGCATAAAATTATCACATACACAAATTTATCTAAATTTTTAATTAAAATTTACACTTAAGATTTTGCCAAATTAATATTTGAAATTGCGAGCTAGACATATCAATAGGTAAATCTAGGTCTTTGGCATCATCAGTTGTTAACCGAAAAAAGATCTTTCCCAAATCAAACTTAACTTTCGTCATCCCTACTTGTTTTTGAAAAGGCATTTGTCCCAACCAATCAAACTCTTAAAGTAATCATTGAACATTTGTTCATCAATAAGATGCTGATTTAAAAGTGCTAGTTGTTCTTAGGTAATTGGATGCTCGCTAAATCAACAAAGACAAAACATTTAGCCAAACAGCTGATGTCATATCTGACTGAACTGACAATATTATCAGACTGTGCTAATAGCAAACGATGTACTCATTGTAAAATGTTCAATTATTCCCAGTGGTGTGTTTGAAAGATACAACATTTCCAAGTCAGTCGATATTTTGCCAAGTCCATAAACAAACCTCAGGCGCGTGAAGGTTGAAAAGCTGATTACAGGTTCCTTGCTTTTGCCATAGCAAATTATTTGTTGCTGATTAACGAGTTTGTATTAAATTTCTCCAATCAACATATAAAAGGAATATTGTTATCAAGAAATTCTGTTATGATTTTTAGATTAATTATTTTTGTTATTGATTTTTTTACATCTTGTGATGCAGTAGTAACATTACAATCTTTGAATAGGAATTGCTAAAGTGATAAATTGACATTTTTTTTCTCTTTGTTTTCCGATCGATTTTTTTTTCTCTTAAATATTTTGCTGACAAATGATTTTATAAAACATTTACAATTCAAGAAACGCATCTTTCCCATAAAAGCTTTTAAATGAAATGGAATCGTTTAAATTTTGGTACTTTACGTTTTTTTAAATACTGAATTGAAATATTCACTTTCTCTTTACAGTGTGTCGACGGAGGCAAGACACTGCAAATTATCTGTCGCCTTAACCGGATAGTTTTAATTTTAAAGGTAAGTTTGATTTTGATTATTACATATTATTTTTTTATTAGTTTTACTCTGTCTTATTCGTAGTAAAGTTAATTATAAATAATCGTATTATTCTTGTTAGTTGTCAAATGTTCGATTTTCTTAAGAAGAATTTATTTCTTTGGCCAGGAAAGATAAGTTGCTAAATGTTATGCGGCAGGAAATGAACTGAAACATATTTTGCGTCCAGACAAGAAATGAAATATAGCAACGAAAAACCGATAAAAATATCTGCTGTTTTCCCGGCTCGCCTAAAATGTCTCTGTCGAGAACTTTGTATCCCGATTCCATAAAAAAAAAACTTGTTTCTTAGGAATAGTTTTATAGTGGACATGTTTATACAAAAATGTTTACAAAAAAGTTCTAAACTACTTCTAAAGATCACCAAATGCAAGACACGTTTTAGGAAGGCAGAAGAAGATATCAGCCAAAATGTTGTGATGAAACTATTTTGAGAGTTGAAGATGCGAGTTGAATAAGGCCTTAAAAGAAGGATGATAGCATACACGGGAGTTTCTGTGCAAAGATTATACATATAGAAGATTTTCATGTTGCATATTTTAGTAATTCATCTGAAAACAAATACTGACAATGCCACTCGGTTATTTTTCCGAGTGATGTACACGATATTTTAATTGAATGCTACAAATTTCGTAAATATTCTAAATTTCTGATCATAAAGTTTAGTTTATAGCATTTTTCTTTTAAATAATTGCCATTCTCTGCACGAAAACATGTAAGAAACAGCTAAAATACATGTTCCATTTACTATTTTGTTTTCTTGAGATAATTCTCTGAATAAAGAATAAATAAAAGTCAAGTAAATAATTTCTAGAAATGAAATGGTCGTCCTATTTTGTCAGGAAGGCCGGCTCCTCTCAACAAACGCTGACTCTTAAGAACCGATGACGTGGTGCGAAATGTCCACCTATTTCAACAACAAAACAAATGAAATGTTTATACAATTATTGATGAAAATATTTTATTTAATCGTGTTTGTTTTCATTTGCAGATTTTTATCGGTTAGTTTTAGTCAAAATATTTATATAATGATTATATACGTATCTGCATTACAAAAACAATAAATAATCAATACGCGTAATAATACAGTAATACAAAAATATTTTATGTAATATACATTACAGTTAATTAGATACACAAGAAATGTGTAATAATTGGTTAATTTATTAAATAAGTTTGTATAAATTCCATGTAAACGTTATGCAAATTTATATTAATTTTAATAAGTAAACTAAAGAGAGAAATCTTACACGAGATCTGATGAAATAGAGAACGTAAAAGAAGAAAAAAGTTTTTAAAAAACGATTCGAAAGGCCATTTTGCAGAAAAACTGAAGAAAGTAAAACTATCCAAGGACGAAGATGATGCCACTTGTTCTTTTACGATGACTATAGCAAATATCTCTAGCAAGAAGATACAAATAATAGTGCTATTACTAGTTATAATAAGCGAATAAATATTTTTATAAAGATGAAACTAAATTTAAATACACATAGATAAGCAACTAAAAAGTGTAAGAAAAACTGCAGAAAACATGTTTGTAGGACCTTAGGTAATAAATGTAATAATCAGTATTTGACTGATGAACACGCGAATGAATATTACAATCGAGCATGTTCTTCGGAGTTAACTTATACGGCTTGCATCTGTCTGATGTTTTTATTTTCTTTGCATATTTAAAGTAAAACGACATAAATTGTTAGCTGCAATTTGATATCTTCTGCCGACTACGAAATGGGGAAACAACTCCTCGACAAAGTCTCGAAGTCAAAAAGTTTGATTGGTCAAAATGTTGGTTGTTTTCAGCAGTCAGTTTAAGTCACGTGACACTTAGCATCAAAACAGATGCAAGCAAGCAGCGACTTTAACGGACGTAACAGTAGCAGTTGCTTTAGTTATCAGTTAAATAGTAATTTATTTCATTCCCATCGCAATGACAATATTTACTTTCTATCAGGAGGGGAAATTCAGATATATTTGCGGTTTCCTGGAATTTAATGTTACTCTTCACTTTCACTTTGTTTTCGTTTGGTTGATAACAGCCATTCACACAAGAACGCTGACGCACACGGCTGACAAGCGAGGCGACCTTCTTGAACGGACAGTTGACTACTGACCTTGTTTCAAACATCACATGATTATCGCGATGACCTAAATGATTTTAACTGCAAGCCTTTGAGAAGAGGCATTTTAAATTGACAAACTCAAGTCACTGATAGTGATATCAACCAATTTATTGAACAAGAGTATTTATTTTTAAACTCATGTGCACTATGACCTCAGTTTTAAAACGAGACTTTTATATCAAGTAACGTCATATGTAATATCAGATCCAACATTACACAATTGTCAAAAAAATAAATTTATATGAAATTAGAAATTCGACATCCGATAGAAAAGTTTATTTCGGAAAAGTAACAAACAAATCCTGCTAGACGTCGAGCTGATCATACGATTCGACATTAAATTAACCTTTACATAACCAACGAAAAACTTCTAGAAATGGCTGGACATTACGAGAACTCATGGATCTTTCTGCAAGATTCAAGTTCAGTTCTTTACAGATCGAAAGGTCATTGTTGTTTGTGTGTGATTGCCGTCATCGGTTCATTGACTGGCAGCTTGGTAATGGCCATTGGGGCGTGCATCTTACTCAACTATTCAATGTTGGATTCAAGTAATGTACCCGACAATTTGATGTATTACAAATATTCTCCGTTAATCGGATTCACCCTTTCTTGCTTTGGTTTGTTTTGTCTTGTTGTTGCAGTCACAATCGGAATTTTGGTTTTGTTCTTGGAGAAACCCGACAGCAGCCAAGAAGACAGTTTTCAATATATTAGAATTCCCACTGAAGACTTGGAAAACTCCATTACACACTCGGAATAAATTACAAGGAACTAAAATCAGTAGAACATCGAAATTCTGTTACTCTACAAAACGCATTCTGGCTGGTGTTGTGAAACTGACATCCAACTATGATTTTGTTTACTTCTCAACGCTTCTGTGTACTTTTCTGATACCAGTATTTATTCTTTGCTAGAAATGAAACTGGAAATTTTAACCAAACTGAATGTATTACTTTTTGCTTGTAAAATACTGAAGACTCTGATTAAAACAACAGGAAATTTATATGTGAAAAATTTAGAGAATTTGGAACACGTTGCAAGTTTTCCGAATTTGATTTAGAATTTCTGAAATACAATGAATCTCCCCGGATTATTTTAAACTTGATCTCAGTTATCTGCTGTTCAACTTAAAGCTAATATTTTTGCATGAAAATGAAGACGAAAAAAAAAAAAAAAAAAAAAAAAAGAAGAAAAAGAAAAAGGAAAATTAATTTTAGAACAACAACATTTCTGTTAACAGCTGAGTACTCACTGACTGATCTATACCTGCTAATACTCAAAACAAATCATATGTAGAAGCATAAAAGTATTGAATCAATAAGTTCGTAGTATAGCACAGTGGAATTTTTATCTGAAAATTTCACTTGATCTATGGAGATGTGTCGAGTTAAGTGACAAGCAATGAGATTATGTTGAAAAATAAATAATTTTGTATAAAATAAATGTTTTGTTTACAATTAGACTATGGATGTATCAACGCATGTAACGTGTGTATCAACGCCAAGTGTATTTGTAAGTTTTTTTGTTTGTAACGTATTTTTGCTTTACTCGTGCTATCTTTCTTGTAATGGTGATGCTGGGTGGCAGTGTCCTTGATCTGACAATGGCAAGATAGTTATGAAGTCGGGAAATAAAAAATAAGTTCGAATAATAATATAAAAATAAGTATAAATATATTTTTATATTTTACAGAAATTTCACGTACATTTTATCTGTTTTTTTATTCAATTTAAAAAAAATGTTTTATTTTTCCACGGTTTCATTAATTTGATCTTTTGACTACAGATGTTGATATTGTGTCGGCTATCAAATCTCAATAAAACAAAATGGCATTGTTTCTCCGTTCTGAGGTTCAAATATTTTCTGCCAATCACCTTACAAAAGGTATTTTATCAATTTTTGTTACACTATCATGAAACCATTTTATAACGAACAAAATGAAAGAAAAATAATTTTCGTCAGAATCTAGTGATAAAAACAAGGATGAGAATGTAAGTAAAAACTTTGTGGATTAAAGACAACGGCTATCTCGGCATTGCAGGCAATATTTTATATTTTATTTTCGATGTTTCCATGAATTGAATTACTTTCTATACGTGCATTTAAAGAAATTGTTACGTCTTTCTTAAGTCATTAAAATTATATTACGACTTTGTATTTGATTAAGTAATGTATCAATGTGTAGCAAACTATTGTCCAATTGATAGTGTATTGATTTCGACCCTCAATGTGTGCCCTTAACCTGTTGGCTTTGTGTCGTACTATGTAAAGCTTAATAAATATAAAATAATAACTTAACGTAATTTAGTCTCGCAGAAGGCTAAAATAGTGGGGCACTTATGACAATGACTAGTGAACTGAACTGCGTTACACACTTGCGAAACAGATTGGCGTCTACTGCTTATCAATATAAAGCTTATTTCATTCTAGCACATGGCCACGTTTATGGAGCCCCCGCTAGAATCGAATGTATTCAACCAGAATGGTCTACTTGACTAGCTATATATTATCACTAAATCAGGTTCGTTAATATCAAATGACAATAAAAACAATGACATCATCATTATTAATAGTCATCACTGATACATTCATTTGGGAGTGTTTCGTTGTTCTAAAATTAAGCATTTAAATGAAATTGATGATTTTCGAACTTTGGCAAATTAAATTGTTTTATGCGTGTCTAAGCTTGAACTAGGTCAAACGGTTTGAAGTAAAAGAGAGGGTATTATTTCTTTCTTGCTTTTGTAGATTTGTGAATAATTAGAATTGTAATAAATTTGTTTTTACTGGCGATTTTTTTATTCTACGAATAGATATATTTATAGGTGGAAAGTCGTAAAAGAACATGTAAAAATAAACTCTCTTTCTCTGTCTCTCTCTGTTTGCCCCCTCTCTCTTTCGATATATCCATACAAATGAATATATATATATATATATATATATATATATATATATATATATATATATATATATATATTTAAATTTATTTAAAAATAATGGTTCCATCGCTACACAGGAATTACCATGTTTCAAAAGCAGAAGCTAAAACATCAAATTCAATTATAGAATTAGATTAAATCCCTATTTCTTTTTCATTTTTTAAGAAGTTTTTAGCTTTTATTTTTGAAACATGGTAATTCCTGTGTAACGATGGAACCATATTTTTAAATAAGTAAATTTATAATATTTATGCTCTATAGATTTGCATTGAGCACTGTGTTGTAAAAATAAAAATATTAATAAGAAAGCCGGATTATATATCTTACTGTTCTTTCTCTTTATTACAATATATATATATATATATATATATATATATATATATATATATATAGGCAACATATCATCATTCAAGCATGTTTGTTTGGATAATCTTGGGCATATTATGTCTATTTATTTTTATTTTAATCCTCTCATATTCACGGATCAATTTCTTAATATTGTTATTAAATTATTCATTAAGGAAGGCGTTGTAGTTTTTTTTCATTTGATTTCAAGTGATTTCAGGCTCATTCAAGATCATTTTCAGGGGTGAATTGCTAAGATAAAAAAATTAATGTAATTAATAGTTGTGAATTTTTAGAAAATGCTCAAAAAACGCGCTTTGTTATAATTATGAACGTGTATGAACGTATCCCATTATAATTAATTTAAAAATTCACCGCTAAAATTATTGCTATCTAAGGGAGGCAACTTTAACTTATATGAATATAATTTAAATTAAATAAATACAATTTAAGTGTTTTAAATCATCCTGAAAACATTTAATTTTTTTCTATACTCATAATTAACCTTATTTAATGTTGGTTGTATTTTTCTCATATAGAGGGCTTCAAGACTGAAGTTTTTATTCCTTATTTTCATGGTGGAGTATACTTGTATTGACAATTAATATTTTTCTATATTGTGTGTGTGGACAAGAATGTCTCTTTAAATATTGGGTTATAAAACTTGAATCTGACATGGGCAGTGTAAGTCTCCCCGATATCGACATTCAAGCATGTTTCATTCAAGCATGAATCATTCAAGAATGTTTCATTATTTAGGCATCCAAACATGCTTCATTCAAGCATGTTTCATTAAATAATATAAACATATTATGTCTATTTATTTATTTTTTTTACAATAATCCGTTCCAGTTCTCTAATTATTTTTTGTTAAAATTCATCAAAGAAGGTGCCGTAGTTCTTTCGAACATTTTCTTTAGATTTTTGCATATTCTGAGCAGGAAATTTTGAATGATAAATTTGTGACAATAACCTTTACATTTTTGATCGATATTAGTCATAAAAATAGTTTGACAAAATTACTGTTTTGGTATATTGGTTCGATTCAAGAAAATAAAAAATAAGTTTTTTCCAAGTTCATTTGTGACAGTAGGTAATATTGTCATTGTTTTGTCGCGGTTAATTTTGCAACATTAAATATTTTGTTGTTGGTTAAAAGGGTTCAAATCAAAATAGCATATTTTTTTAACCCATTTTTATTGAATTTTTTTCTACCTCGTGATTGATTTCTAGCCAGTGCATCCAATCTAACATATAATACCATTCCATCCAATCTAACATATAATTCCATTTAATCGCTCGTGTCAAAAACTGGTTTTAAAGTCAATTTACTCAGCAGAGTCAACTATATGTAGTGATTGAACAAAATGCAATGATTGATAATATTATAAGTTTGTCATTATTTAATTATTTTCTTTTCAATTTTCAGCTTCTTGTGGACCAGTTTATGATCCTGGAAACCATGACACCATTGGATTTTATTGATTTCAGGTAAAAAAAAACTCCTCCTAATCTTATCCTAATTTCTAATGCTTTAATTAAGAATTTTTTTATGTCATTACGAGTGTAACTTAAAGGATATTTTAGGTTTTGAATATTACATTACAAATTATTAAGTCGATTTGCTCGTTAGGCTGTTTGTAGTTGCCTCCCTTACATTGTAAAAATGGCTTTCTAGTTTGGATTGATTCAAAATGTTGTTGTTAATATTTCAGTTTTAAAAATAATTCGAATAACACACACACGCACACACATATATATTTACTAATGAGAAAGAGAGTGAGAGAAAGAGAGGGGGGGAGGGGAGGGGAGGGGGGGGGGGGAGAGGGGGGAAGGGAGAGGGGAAGGAGAGGGGGGAAGGAGACGGTGAAGGGAGACGGTGAAGGGAGAGGTGGAAAGGGAGGGGGAATAGCAGTGTTGTTTTAGATAAATATGCAAGTTACATCGCAATAATTATTAAAAGTCCAGTTGTTAGTAAAGATGGGACATATTTAAATCTATGAAGAGATTTGTCAAGTTTTTCAGCGTGGAGCAGGATTATTTTTTTTGTTCACAAAAATCAACTATTTTTTATTTCCTTGTATTTAATCTGAACTTTTACATTCAGAAAGAATAAATGAAAAAAATTAAAGAAGAAAATAATTTTAAAATATTCAGATATTTATAATTTATATAAAGTTGTCGTCACTGCTTCTTTTCAGTTTGCAAAGTGCAAAACTGATTTAAAAATTAAACTTTAAAACGATTTTTTAAAATAATATAGACTTTTATAAATGAAAACCAAAAGCTAAATATAACGGAGTTATTTCCCTTCCATTACAAATTCCAATCATTAAAAGAAAAAATAATTTTAATTACTCTCACTTCGCACAAATTTGATGCAGCTTTTGATATCTACATACACTTGCACAAAATTTATATATGAATATTGTATTTATTAGAAGTTAATGAACAAAAAGTAGAAGTTAATAAAAAAAAAGTGAAATCGTATCTAAACGCACGCACGCACACACACAGACAGGCACACACACGCGAGTCTAAAAGAAACTCTCATTTTTCTTAATACTCTGTTATTTTCATTTTATACATTTCACAAATATTTTTATCTTTCTCTGTCACAGTGAATCTCTCCGATTATTCGCGTATGAGTAGTTCCACAATAATTTTCCAATCCTGTGATCTTTATAAACTTATTTTACCCATAAGGTCAACTTTTAATAACATGCATATTTTAATTATTCTTTACTTTCAACTTGAAAAATGAATCTTTTCAATGAGGATAAAAGGAGGAAAATTGACGTCATTTTGAAAGAAGTTTTCTTGGTTTTTCGCAATCATAATTGATCAGATTCTGTTAGAGCAGATAAAGGTGCTCACCTTATAACTGAATCCGACATATCAAAAGTATTTTCGCTTTTTTAATCAATGGGAATCTCTCGAGAATTTCCGTTTCTCTTTTGAAGCTTATGTAATGATTGCCTATGATATCTTTCGATGTCCCTAGCTTATACTGAAGGCCAAGTTGCCGTTTTAAAGCATTATAAGCGACAACTGCTAACCGTTTATTTCAAGTGACCAAACTTAAAAATCTTAAACCATTTTTATAAGCAGTAATGTCAGACTTTGGTTTGTTTCATTTTCTTCAATTTTTTAAATTCTGCAAACAGCTTTCAGATTTTTTAAAATAATGCCTGAAATTTACCAGAATCTGAATACATCTGACATCTTTGAAACAAAAGGTAAAGTTGAACAACAACATGAACAACAACAGCAGAGAAGAGCACGATTTAAGAAAATAAAAGACAGTGTTTGACAATATTCAGCAATACGTCTTCAAGTTATGTTTAAAAATCATATACAAGTATAAAAATATAAAAATTTACAAAAAAGTCGATGACAATGACGACAACGACTACTATTACGACGACGACGACAAAATGGAGTCTTATATAATCTTTAGATACACATATATGGAGTAAAAGTATATAAAATGCAAATACTTTTAGTGCACAATGATATCAATGTTAATCGCATAGTTTTTCCAACGGACGGATATTACCGTCTTTTAAGTAAATCTTTATTTTAAGGGGATAAGTATTTTCTCACAACAAACGTGCAGACTTAAATTGTATTTATACACAGAAAAATATCTGATTTCATTGTAAAAATATTTCATTCTGCATTACGACGACTTCCATGGTTGAAACTATTTTCATTTGTGTCAGTTCGATTTTACCAAAAGAGAAGAAATAAATTTGAAAGATTAAGAAAAATCATCGGACTATAGCCGACGAAATACAAACAAATTGTTTTCATATGTAAAAAATATTACAACCACAAGGATTAAAGCGTTTCTATTGAAGACATTTTTCGAACTGGAGGTGAAGGAAGTCATCTGTAAATAGCACCCGGAAAATTAAGCATAAATGGAAGTATTTTAAAAAAATGGAAGTTGTATGTATTCATCCGTTTTTATAAACTACCATATCATTATTCCAAATTATCATATGAAAATGTTAAAAATTAAAATATTTAAAATGCAGTCATATCGAATTTATTTCCTGGCTCAGATATTTGATGAATATGAATGTAAAATATTTTTCTGTGTATTGTTACCTTTATACCATTTCTAAAACCGGTATCTGGTCAACGATATTAGCAATAGATATAATTTCATAATCGGTTTAAACTTGTAGACACACAAACCTGAAGTAGTATTTCAATTTGTTGATATACTGTAGATTTCGTTTATCAAAAAACAACAAAAAAAAAAAACTCATTATATTATTATCCCTTCCCTTCAGCAAATTTATCTTCCTAGATCCCAGCTTAAAACCAAGATTTCGAATTCTTATTTTTAGACACTCCTACTTAGCGTAGCACAATCTTTCTAACTAATTTCTCTGCATTTGGTCTGATGTTGTGCGAATCCAATCTTAGTAAATATCGAAGAGTAGGTCTATAGAATTTCAAAACTAAAAAGAACAGACATATCCAAATATGGAAATCTTGATTTTCAGTCAGTCACGCGAATAGAAGCTCATAAACATTAATGCAAACATTCTTGGGTTCATCTTGCCAACTTTTAAAGTTTCTTACAAAAAAAAACCAGATTTGATGAACAAAAATTGAGTAGCAGAGTGATTAATCCGTTATCCCTTGAGATGAAAATTATTTTCTTGGGCGACTTTTTGAGAATTCACTTTCGAAAGCGCTCTACGAACATATTTGCTTATTTAGTCATTGTTTGATTTCTTTTTATTCATCATTTTCAGTTTTTTATTTATTTGTCAGTTGTTGTCGATTCTTGACCAAAATGAAAACGTAAAAAAAAAAAAAAAAAAAAAAAACATGATCTAAGAAAATGAAAGATCATATTTTGATAATTGATTTTCACTATAAAAATATAAATTATCTGAAAGTATATATAAAAAAGTCAAAACGTGTCAAGCGAATTTGTTGAATACGAATTGATTACATCAATATTGTTTTACTGATATTGAACATGCTAAGATTTTAAATATTTTTGACATTTAAATTCTTTTTATCTTTCTTCTTCGTTCTTCTTCTTTCGATTCTTCTTCATGGGAAGGGCCAGTGTCACCAGGCGCCTAAACGTACAGTATGCACACTTTTTCCTTTTACACCTTTCTTAGTGTTGTGTGTGTGTGTTTCTTTTGCCGTTATTAAGAAAAACAACCTTCACATTATTATTGAAAATGGTTGACAAGTGGCAATTCACGGTTTATTTCAACGGCACGCATTTACACACGGGCACACAAACACATGCAGAGCAGGCTGCTTATTGTGAAGTGAAAGTTGACGAGTTCGTCTTGCTAGGGCATTCAGACTAATTTAAAGCGGTTTTTTTTACTAGTTGTAAAATACGAGGTTCAAGAGTCACTTAAAGTAGAATGACGTTGTACGTATAGGTACCTCCACTTGGTCGCGTAAAAAAACAGCATAACATGACGAAAAAAAGGACCCAAACTCAATAAAAACAAAGTTTTATCATCAAAATGTTTATGCTAATATTTAGAGGAAAGACCAAAGAAATTTTTTCATTATTTTTTGAAATTTTTTACTCCTTTGTACTACGTTGTAAATTTTGGTTAAAAAGCTTGTTTTTTTTACGTTAGCGGCGGATCAAAGATGAAGGTTAGTTTTTTTTTGCGTTTTTTTTTTTTTCGGTGAAAAACATTAATTTGAAATTCTTGCAAAATTCAAATAATTGTCGGTTTTAATGAAACTTTCAGAACATATTAAAAAATAAATGAAATTATTTTTAAAATTTTTCTTTTGAAAAAAAATGAAATTTTCAGAAATTAAATTTTTAAGGGGGGATATTATTTAGTTAAAAACAGGACTCTTTGGAGAAAGTAAATCATCAATATTTTTTTATAAAACAGTTACCCGTTTAATCGAAAATCTGCTCCGAACTGTAAAATAAAAAATGCAATAAAACTAAGACAATTAATTAGAAAAGCTTTTAATTGCTTTTGTAAATAAGTTATATTAAGGACACTATTGTCTGAAAAAATAAAATTTTTTCGATGGATAATGAATTTTTACAAGAAATTTTTCATTTTTTAAAAATTTTAATTATAATAATATAATAGTAGTAAAATCGTTTAAAATTCTTCATTGCGTCTTTGCAAATCATCCCTTCAAAATATCAACAAAAAAGTTTTATTATTTTTCTTCATTGCTATTTCACTAAATATTTTTATTTTATGTATTTATTTTAGTTTGGGTCATACTGCAATTAATTAAATTTTTGTTTAAGGTCGTAAAGTTAAGAACCTAGAGACGAAATGCAAATTTTATAAAGTTTATTGTAAACCTAACTTAAAGTCAATAAAATATTAAATAATTGCTGAAAATATGTTAATTTGTAAAAATTACTAAGTAGTTAAAAACTAAAAAAAAAAAAAATGTGTTCACCTAGATTTCACAAATTTATGTCACCTTGAGAGCTTCTCGATAAATCA